TTTTTGATTTTAGCAAATGGCTGCAATGAAACAAAGAGTGAAAAATTGAAAGGGGTCTGAATACTTTCCGTACCCACTGTATGCTGATTCAATCACAAACAATATGTGGATATTTGTTTGGAAAAGCCCCCAAATGAAGATATTATTGGGGTGCATGATTAAAGCATTGAAGAGAAATACCTAAAAAAGGATTAGAAATTCGAAATTAGTCTCGACATCTTTTCAGAAAGTAAAAAAAAAAAAAAAAAGCAACTTTATTTTTCTCTAATGTGGCAACTTGAAAAATCCTACTTTCATCGAAATTATATATTTAGACTAATTTATGTTTTGGAGTGCTTATGTCACAGGTGTCTCTGATACTAAGTTTGCATTTTCGGGCTCTAGTGAGCTTGTCCAGATCCAAACACGCATCAAATGTTCTTCCAGACACCCGCGGGTGACTTCACTGACGCTGCGTCAGCAGAGGAGGAAGATAAATGGCGTGGTTGTTGCACACATCATCAAACTGCTGCATCCTGTGTTCCTGCATCATCAGAAATGACGCAAAAAAATAATGATTTGACTTTGTGTTCAGTCATCGGCTGTTACAAGATGACCAGAACGCAGATGGCCACAATGCATTAGTTATTTGTGTCTCTGCACACCACCCGCTTACAGAATCTAATGAACTACTTCTACTGCGGTTTGGCGTTTCAGTCACAGAGTGCAGACCGAACTTCTGGTAGGACCACTTTGGGAATAAAGTACCGTGAGGCGTGCCTAAGAGCGAAATGACTTTATGAGCTATGTCAACACACTGGATTATGTTCCCAGCTTCGACACTTATCGTCTGGCGTGACACTTTCTCTTTTAACCTTCTGCCAAAGCAGTCCACAGGCAGTAAAGGGGGGGGGGGGGGGGGGTTTGAATTATGGGGGAAGAATTGCTCGCTGCCAGGAACGCGACTGCTTATTGTTTCTCTCCAAGACCTTCACATGGGTATGGTGGGGCCGGTTAAACAATCCCGGCCCCCGCGTCAGAGCAGTTGGCCACAGACACGCAGACGGGTGGACGTGGACGGATTCGGTGCCGTTTGCAGCTGATGGAGCGACGGCTCCTGAAATAGGCCGTCCCACGGGTCACTGTGTGAGACTCTGGTTCTCCTCCTCACAGATGCTCCTCGTGCTTCCGGCCAAACGGCTATAAATCAGCTCTCCGTGACATTTCATCTGCGTCACAGGATGCTGTTTTTATCCCCCAGAGAGGCGAGCGCACCTGGGACACGGAGGGTGGGACGTGCGGAAACCAGAGCGACAACAAGCTCAGAATCTGCTATTTTAAACTGAAGATCACTAAGCTATTTCAATGCAGCTGGTACAGATTTATCAATTTAGTCATGCAGGGAAAAGGGGGAATTAATTGTTCAAAGCAATTAGATTTGAACAAGCATCCACTTTATTAGCTCGCTAGATCTTCATGTGTTCAATGTTTAAAGAGGATAATGAAGCATATTATTTTACTTACTAATTAGTTTGCTCGGCACTCGCTGGGTCTGAAAGGTGTGAAACACCAAATACTCGTGAACTAGAGCTGCACTTTAGATTTGGAGGAACAGACACGGGTATACCAAAGCCACATAACAGTCAAACCTACCAGCACTACTACGCTGTAGAGTTCCAAAGAAGTAGTAGTAGTAGTAGTAATAAAAGTAATTTTTCAGCTATTGGGGGACTTTCACTTTCCTGGGTTACTCATCAGTGCAAAGGATGACCTGCATCACACGGTGTCTTGTTCTTACATTAAAAAAGTCAAAACTGATGAGGAACAATATGTAAAAAATTCACCGAAAGAAAATACCGAAGTCTGGTGATTTTTTCCCCAAGATTGATTCCTTGACATACTAATCTTTCGAAGTCTCCCTTCACAAAAGAAAATAGCAGAGCCCGAAGGACATGGGTCACACGCTGAATGCAATTGTAAGTGGTAAAGTGGAAAAGCCTGGGGAAAGCGCCGGCTTTAGCCCTGTAGTTCAGAGGACAGAGAAATCCTTTTAGAATCTCGCTTTTTAAAAAGGAGGCTTTTCTGCGGCTCCGCTGCTCTCTGGGAGGTGTTTACACAGATGGGCTTTTTACAAGGGGCCAATTTAGGAGGATAACGCCTGTGCTGCTCACGGCGGAATGAAAGGTCAAAGCCACGGCTCACACCTGTGTTCCTGTGCCAGGAATAAGAAGCTTTTATCCGGCTTTTTAAAACCAGCTAGAGGTGAAGCTCGGGTCTTCCGAGGTCACTGCAAGAATCTGCCGTTCTGTCAGCAACCAGGAAGTTCAGCAAGCTGCTGAGAACGAAACCGAAGCGGTTGGCTCCAAAGTGCAACATAACGATTTAATGGAAAAAGAACCGCAACAAATGGGAACGTCGTGTCCTTTTTTTTAAAGTGTTGCTCCTCGTTTTGACCTCTGGACGTATGTGATGTCCATATCACACATACGTCTCTGAAGCTTTATCAAGCTGGGGAGCAGCACACACACACACACAATATGTCAGGTGTTTATTGGTTAACTTGCTGTAATATCCTAGTCCTTTCAGAGATCAATTACTTATATATATTTAGTAAGTAAAAATGCATTATAATGACTTTGACTGCCATGTTAGGAGTCAGGCATCACTACTATCAAATGACGCTTCACAGTGGATTGAATTTGTAAAAACTGGATGGATTTCTGTGTCTCTCGTGTCGAACAGAATCAACATATCGCCACCAGGCCAACATCGACGATGAGGTCGTCACCATGGAGATTCTGGACACGGCTGGGCAGGTGAGATGAATTATTCCCGTGTCTCTAATCCAAACCTGACCTGAGAGCTCTCCCTCCATCTTCAATCCATCCTAACTGTCTCGCTCACTGACAGGAGAGGAGGGATTACCACAGTGCTGTACTTGATATGGGGTAGTACTTCTACTGTTAGTGTACTAACAAAGTCAAGTATCATCAACACAAGTGTATTCTCTAATGCTGTGCTTCCAGAGACAAGTGATGAATGTATATTATATATTATTTGTATTCCCTTATTCTATTCACAGTTTGACAGACCTGTTTAATTTAAAAAGGTAAAATTGACTTGACTATAACATTTGGTCCTTTACATATGGGATTAAAAAAGATCAGCTGTCAGAACCAGAACACATCTTCCGGTAACACCGGAACACACAAAATAAAAACACTTCTTATTATAACTTCTATGTAGTCGGGATGTCACGAGAGACTTTGGGACCAAGCCAATGATATAATTCTGAAAGCGTGACTGTACTGCAGTAGCACAGGTACTGGAGAGGCTCTAGACTGACAGACTAAAATGTGAGGGGACACAGTGAACTCACTGTTGCTACATTGTGAACAACAAATCTGTGTTGAAATCAGCAGGAAGAGAGCTAGTTAGGTTAGCAGCCCAGACAAACTGTTGTTTTGGGCAATAAACTGAATAAATACAGCTGTTTAAAGATGTTTTATGTATGATGAAATAGATATTAGAAAAGGGAATTATGACCCGTTTAACTTTTACACCAGCTCTGAGTGTGTGTGTGTATATACAGTTGTGTGAAAAAGTGTTTGCCCCCTTCCTGATTTCTTATCTTTTTGCATGTTTGTCACACTTAAATGTTTCAGATCATCAAACAAATTTAAATATTAGACAAAGATAACACAAGTAAACACAAAATGCAGTTTTTAAATGAAGGTTTTTATTATTAAAAGGGGGAAAAAATCCAAACCTACATGGCCCTGTGTGAAAAAGTGATTGCCCCCTAAACCTAATAACTGGTTGGGCCACCCTTAGCAGCAACAACTGCAATCAAGCGTTTGCGATAACTGGCAATGAGTCTTTTACAGCGCTGTGGAGGAATTTTGGCCCACTCATCTTTGCAGAATTGTTGTAATTCAGCCACATTGGAGGGTTTGAGCATGAACCGCCTTTTTAAGGTCATGCCACAGCATCTCAATCGGATTCAGGTCGGGACTTTGACTAGGCCACTCCAAAGTCTTCATTTTGTTTTTCTTAAGCCATTCAGAGGTGGACTTGCTGGTGTGTTTTGGATCATTGTCCTGCTGCAGAACCCAAGTGCGCTTCAGCTTGAGGTCACGAACAGATGGCCGGACATTCTCCTTCAGGATTTTTTGGTAGACAGCAGAATTCATGGTTCCATTTACCACAGCAAGTCTTCCAGGTCCTGAAGCAGCAAAACAGCCCCAGAACATCACACTACCACCACCATATTTTACTGTTGGTATGATGTTCCTTTTCTGAAATGCCGTGTTACTGTTACACCAGATGTAATGGGACATACACCTTCCAAAAAGTTCAACTTTTGTCTCGTCAGTCCACAGAGTATTTTCCCAAAAGTCTTGGGGATCATCAAGATGTTTTCTGGCAAAACTGAGACGAGCCTTTATGTTCTTTTTGCTCAGCAGTGGTTTTCGTCTTGGAACTCTGCCATGCAGGCCATTTTTGCCCAGTCTCTTTCTTATGGTGGAGTCATGAACACTGACCTTAAATGAGGCAAGTGACGCCTGCAGTTCTTTGGATGTTGTTCTGGGGTCTTTTGTGACCTCTTGGATGAGTCGTCGCTGCGCTCTTGGGGTAATTTTGGTCGGCCGGCCACTCCTGGGAAGGTTCACCACTGTTCCATGTTTTCGCCATTTGTGGATAATGGCTCTCACTGTGGTTCGCTGGAGTCCCAAAGCTTTAGAAATGGCTTTGTAACCTTTTCCAGACTGATAGATCTCAATTACTTTGTTTCTCATTTGTTCCTGAATTTCTTTGGATCGCAGCATGATGTCTAGCTTTTGAGGATCTTTTGGTCTACCTCACTTTGTCAGGCAGGTCCTATTTAAGTGATTTCTTGATTGAGAACAGGTGTGGCAGTAATCAGGCCTGGGTGTGGCTAGAGAAATTGAACTCAGCTTTCCAAAGATGTGATAAACCACAGTTAATTTATGTTTTAACAGGGGGGGGCAATCACTTTTTCACACAGGGCCATGTAGGTTTGGATTTTTTTTCCCCT